CAGCTTGGTGTCGTCTGCAAATTTGATGAGTTCCCCATCTATCCCTTCATCCAAATCGTTGATGAAGATGTTGAAACAGAGCCCTGGGGCACCCCACTACACACTTCCCTCCATATAGATGCAGTTCCATTGAGGACCACTCGCTGAGTACGGCCGGTCAGCCAGCTACGGATCCATCTGGTGGTGGTTCTGTCTACCCCACATTTTTCTATCTGGTCAAGTAGTAGGTTGTGATCTACTTTATCAAATGCCTTACTGAAGTCCAAGTAAATTATGTCCACAGCATTCCTCTGATCCACTAATTTTGTCTCTTGGTCAAAGAATTCAATAAGATTTGTCTGGCATGATCTATTTTTGACAAACTCGTGTTGGCTTTTAGTAATGACAGTGTTTGCCTCTAGGTGTTCGTTGATTCATTGTTTGATTATCTTTTCCAGGATCTTCTCAGGTATTGAGGTCAGGCTGATAGGCCAGTAATTATCTCTCTAGTTTGACTGTGTTCCATTGCTTGTGCTTGCATAATGTTGAATTCTAATATTGCATGATCACTTCCCCCCCCCAAGATTCCTGTGGCTTCAACACCTATCATTTCATCTCTGTTAGTGAGAATTAGGTCCAATATGGCTAATCCCCTAGTTCCTTTCTCTACTTTTTGGGAGACAAAGTTGTCTGCTAGGTTTGCCAGGAACCTGTTTGATCTTCCACTTGGTGCAGTTTGTCTCCCAGTTGATGTCAGGGTAGTTAAAGCCCCCCATTACTATTGTGATGTGCTTCCTACATACTTAATTAGCTTACTAGCAAAAGGTTAATCTAGTTCCTCTGTTTGGTTGGGTGGTCTGTAGTATACAGCTATGACAATGTCATTTTTCCCCCTTTTATATTGACCCAAATGCATTGGGTCAATATTAAGATCCAGCTCTGTTGGCTCCATTGCCACCATTGTGCTAGGCATCAAGGTTCACCTCTGCTGTCAACCAGCTTGCAAAATTCCAGAAAATTTAGCAATCAATTCTCATGGATTTGTGCAAGCTAGTTCCAGCACACCACTGTGCTGTATGTGTTGACAAGGAAGGCATGGTGCTATTTGCTTTTCTTGCTGCATCAGTTTTTGCATTCACATTGCATATACAAACTTTTATTTGCTTCTGTTGACTCACTGATGAATTGAACAGTCAATCTTACTGAAAATGCCACTGATGTCATATCCAAAGAATTATAACAATAAAGCAAAAAGCAACCAATACATCAACTGGCCGCTAATGTCAGACAGAGATCAAAAACCATCACCCAACCATGTCCCTTGCTCTGATATACAATCAGGTATACAGTCAGATATCATTAGTATAGGTGTAGAGCAGACTTGTCAAACTCGCAACGTCACATGACATTGTGCAACATATCGGGACAGTTTTGCCATTGCCGTTAATGGGGTGGGCACAGCTTTCATGTGATGCGTCCAGCCCGTGGGCCGGCAGTTTGACACCCCTGGTGTAGAGGGAGGGGAATAGCCAAATTTAGAATTGCTTGGCTTCCTTTTCACAAATTGATTGACTTGAAACAATATATTAAAATATGCATAGTTGCTTGGATTTTCTACTTGATGGCTCCTAATTTCACCAAGTCCTTATAGAGGCCAAGTGAAGAGTATCATATACATAAATTGCAATATTATATTAAACTAGGAAACTCTTCCCAGGCACAATAATCCAGTCTAAAAGGGACTCCTTGTAAATCGTTTCGAAAAGTTTATGAAGCATTAATTTCTTATTCTTCTGTCAGGCATCATCTCAGGGAAGAGAAGAGTTAATCAATGACTCCACATCATGCCTTAAATTTCTCCATTAGACATGGCTCTCTAGTTAATAAAAAATATTAAGATATGTAATAAAATAATTAGAAACATGGCAAAATGAAAGAAGTGTTATCATACAAGATAACAGATTAAAATCATATGCAGTTTATACCATGACAACAAAAACAAAAATCTGACAAGAGCAGCTTAAGGAACCATTTTTATATATATGCTTTAAAATGTTTGCAGGAAGGAGCTGATTATATTCCACAAACTGATCTCAGAAAAGGAATTGATATGGTAGAAGGCAATCTTTCAAACCATTTAGTATTTTCAATCCCCCCCCTCAAAAAACAATATCGAAATGGAGAGTAATGAAACTCTTTTGGCTGGTATCTTCTGTTCTCTGTGGCCAATTCTGAGCAATTGCTTGTCATGTTAATCCTATAGTTTCTGAAAACTGTTCAAAAGCAGCCCCAGATAAACTAAATTATAGTAATCAAGTTGGGCTATATATAACTGCATGCATAGCTTACGGTGAGATCATATTTTATCTTGAAAAACCAGTCAGAACATTACTGTAATCCAAGTGAATAAATCCTTGCATATATAACTGTAAACTTCCCAGGAATACAAATTCTTGAAGGGCAACATACAGAATGTTGAAAGTTGCATATACATTTTTGAAACAAAGATGCCCTTAGCCTTTGCTGCTAGAAGGACAAGAAGCAATTCCAAGTCCAAGAACATATTGAAATTGCAAAATTGAGCCTGCATAAGTATATTTAATATCTTTATTACGGTTGCACAATGCTTTGGGTTCAGTTCAGGAACTTTCAAATCTTCATTACGTGGAGAAATATGAATGCAGCTCTGGTCTCTTGTCTACTTAAAGCAGCCACATCATTTCCTGAATCATGTGGCTGCTGTGTGGAGACACAATCTGGGTGACAGGTGCAGCTGCTTTAATGAGCTGTGGATGGATGCTGCCTCAGGCTTCTGTATATTCTGATACACTTTTTTCCAACTGAATCCGAAGCACTGCATATCTTTAATATTAATCCCCCAAGTCAGTAATATCCCTCATTAGCAGCACTTCTGTCTTTACCAGATTACATTTATTTCTTTTTCTCCTCCAATAGTAATTATTGTCATACATTTCCAGAATGTCCTCTATATCTCAAGCATCAGCTGTAGCTTGTGCATTATTTGATGATTCCAACTAGGATGCATGAACCATTTTCATTTAAACAAATTGTATTAGAATCAACATAATAAGGTATGAGAGTTCTGTCAGTGGTATCTAATCTATGTGGTCTCATTCACTTATGCATATCACTACACATTATGTTAGATGCTTGTTGAGGGGATATATCTTTATATATTCCATATACTGCAGAAGATCCTTGAAAAGGAACTTCATAATAGTGATCAAATGAGTTATTTTCAGGGGTGAGAAACTGTTTTGCCTCATTGTAAAAATGTCTACAACATTCAACCTAGGCGTCAATCAGCATTAACCAGATTCCTGATCACAAATGGAACTGCTATTACCTGGTTACATCCTGAAAAAAAACTATTGTTAAAGAAAAGGAACATGCTTGCACATTATCGAGAGGTGAAAATATTTTTTGTCTCCTGGATCTCCTCGAAATATGAATTTTGAAGCAAAATAACCTTCAGACATTCTCTCATTAGAGTGCTGCCCAAGGTATGCTTTCTCATTAGTATGAGGCAGTTGCTCTTTTTAACACCTGATTGTTGCTTTTTGACAGTGTTTTCACATTGGCAGCAGCTGCATTTCTGAACAGGAAATACAATGAAAATAGTACAAAGCTAATGAAATGCATGCAATGGAATGGATTGTAACTAGGGATGCCACAAGTGTCACTATGACTACCAGTTTCTTGGTGAGGCAGTTGAGCTGCAGTTATTTCCAAAAACACTGGAATCAGAAATATGACAATGCACCAAGTATATTAATTGAAACACATTCTATGTAAGACTTATGCTCCTTGATACCCTTCCCTCGTCAATGGAATCCACAAGTAAGCTTGGTGAATGGTAGATGTCAGCCATTGCACGATGGCTGATAATCAATCATCAACTGTCAGTTATTTCTGTCTCTCTGAGTTAGTCTTTATTTAAAGCATAGAATAAGAATGTTGCCAGACCACAGGAACAAGCTCTGAGCTGTTTGCAGGTGCTGTTCTTCCCAACTGCCAATTAAACTTGTGACATTTCCATAATGGCCAAGAGGCAAAGAATATGCACTTAATATAAATTGCTCTATGTGTGTGCAGGAGAGGGAGGGGAGGGGAGGGGAGAGAGAGAGAGAAAACTTTTAATCTCAGTTTATCAATATCAAGTAATGCACATAACATCCTACTTAGCCTATTGTTCACTTATTGTGAGACGAAACTACAAGATGGAAATAAGCCAAGTCATTCATTTGTTTCCCCAGGACATAGTGTAGATTCCAGTGGCATATTTCAGCTTTCAGTTTGATGAGGAAAAAAATGTGTAAAAAAAAAACCCTACTGTCATAAGAAAATAATGTATGGCTTAGTTTTTTCACATGTTTGCACACACATGTTAGCACCAGAGATTAACAGTAACTCTAATTTAATTCCAGCCCCTAAGGGCTGGGACTAGTGATAGTTATTTGGATGCATCTATCCAAATCTAGCCTTTATTTGTCAGGCTGTCTTGTCCACACATGCACCTGCCCTTTGGAATGAGATTCCTGCCCCCTCCCGCCAAAATCTGAATGGCCTCCACTCCATTGGTATTTCAAAGGGCCCCGAAGACCTGGTTCTAGGCCTTTGGCAAGGGTGAGAGACACCTCCTTTGGACCATGTGGATTGTTGGGATTATTTAATTATTATTGTTGTTGTTCCTGTCTGGTTTTGTTATCTTTGTCTCATTTATTCTTCCTTTTTGCCTCTTGCTGTTCTTCATGTTTTTAATGTTTTATAAACTGGTCAAAGCACATACATTTAATAAACGTATTATTATCCATGGTTATATCACAAATATTCTCATAGAATCATGATTACCTCACATGCAGCTTTTATTGTCAAAATGTGGGGCTAATTATGCTACTAAGCTGGGAGCCAATATTGGGAATCTCCTGCTATAATGCTGGCTATTTCAACTTACTCTGCATTATAGTAAGATAGATCTTGCTTTCTGTCATGGGAAATGATTGCTATAAAGCCATTCAGGAGAAAAGTAGCTCAGGGGTACAGTATCAGTGGCATTTGAGACTAAGCGGTCAGGAAACACAGGCCAACTTTAGAAGAAAAATAAATCTCAAGGAAGAGAGGATCCCAAACAAGGGTTCCATTGTAGGTCAATTGTCTACTGAGGACTAAAATGATGTAACACAAGCATTGTCTTGACCCCATCTCTCAGTAGATGGCTATTGCCCACTCAGTCAGGGCTCCCTCCTTCTGAGAAAATAAGAAATGACATGCTGGTGGCAATAAAAATAAGACCCAGATAGACAAATGCAGAATTTATCTTTCTCAAGCTTTGGCTATCTTACACAAGGGAATCTCCAATGGCTGGTTCTGAAGAGAGTCTATCTGACATCGATTTTCTTCTGTGAATGAGATGAGAAAAGAAAAAAAAAATCTTTACATATCAGATGAGAATTCCCCTTTCTACCCTCCCATTCCCCACATAAAGAGAAAGATATAGTGATCAAGGAAGGGAGGGAGGGAGGGAGGGAGGGAGGAAGGAAGGAAGGAAGGAAGGAAGGAAGGAAGGAAGGAAGGAAGGAAGGAAGGAAGGAAGGAAGGAAGGAGATAGAGATAGAAAAAATAAAACCCAGGTTTTTCCTTATGTCTTTTCACAATCACCACATTTATCCAAAGTTGTAGTCAGTGCATTACAGGAGTATCATTAGATACTGACCAGGAAGATCCAGATTCAAGTTGATGTTCAGCCACAAAGTTCAATGGATGACTATGGGCCAGCGACATTCTCCCTGTTTCGTCTGCCTTACAGATTTGCTGGTTGTGTGGAGGGGGGAGGGGAGGGGGGAATAGAAAACAATGAGGAGAAAGTGCTATGAATGCCACTCAGAAGAAAGATGAGACATATGAAAAATAAAAGAAATGGTGATAGGCAGCTAAAAAAAAAAGAATAAAAATTGTTCGTTGACATACCTTAAGCTGAAGTAACACCTGAGGATTACAGCCATGTGTGCATTTGTATGTGAGACTTGCCATACTTTTATTCAACAGACCTGTCCTTTTGAAGCTGAAAACCCATAAATAGAGCATTCCAAATCTAGTCTGGATACTTGTAGATCAATCAATCCATAGCTCCTCTAATTCAGCAAATCTACTTCAAGGCAAACTTCTAGACATTTCTCTGTGACTGATACCCTACTAAGTCATCAAATGTCCATTTTCAAAATAAGTCCCCAGTTTTAATGAACCAGCCTGTCTTCTGCTATTTCCCTAGGTCACCCTTAAAACTCTAACATGGGAAGTTACTGAGAGCTAGAATAAGGTTTCCCAGGCTGCAGATTTCCAGGTGGTGACACATATTACAGGAAAATTGGCTTTCGTGACCTCAAATGTGATAAAAATAGACTGGCTTTAGAAGATGAATGTTACATTTTCCCATTCAGTTCAAAAGGTACCAATGGTGGCAAAATGTGCTGAAACCTGTAGACACTGACTGCAGCAAAAGAAGAAGAGTACTTTAATTTTTGTGTCCCCCCCAAAAAAAAAGAATTTAAGTGAAAATTTACATTTTCTGGAAACAAGCTACTCTTTATTATTGTGTATTGTTTCTAGTTGAGAGTATATTTTTTAATAACAAAAAAAGAGAGCAACCTATATTCTGAGCGTCCTTTGTTTTTAACTCTCAGCTGTTTATAGTTTTTTGTGATGCCCTGATCTATAAGTAATTACAGGTAGTCCTCGACTTATGACAATTAAGCCCAAAATTTCTGTGGCTGAGTGAGACAGTTGAGTGAATTTTGCCCCATTTTACAACCGTTCTTGGCACAGCTGTTAAGTGAATCATTGTGGTTGTTAAATTAACAACATGATTGTTAAGTGAATCTGACTTCTTCGTTGACTTTGCTTGGCAGAAGGTCATCAAAGGTAATCACACATGACTGTCATAAATATGAGCAAGTTGCCAAGCATCTGAATTTTATTCATGTGACTGTGGGGATGCTGCAACAATCGATCAGTCATAAGTCACTTTTTTCAGTGTTATAACTTCAGATGGTTACTAAAGGAACTGTTGTAAGTCAAGGACTACCTGTACTGTTCAGTACAAGAAAGAATGACTTCTATTCCTTCAGTGGCATTTCATTGTGTGCTATTGATTGTCTTATCTTCATTGGGCTGTAAAGTTTAAGAGGTGGGGAATAGAGAAAATATGGGTGAAGGGTGAACTTTGGGCTTGTAAATGGAAACCCAGGTTCTAGCCCACTTTTCTGCAAAATGAAACTGAAGGGGTCTTGGTACCTTCAGGCTTGGTGTGATGGTGATGATAAAGCTATTCCTTGCCCAAAGCTAGTATTTCAGAAAACTCTGGGTTAACTCTAAAGCTACGATCAAAGCTGACACCAGCCAGTCCACAGAAAAACTCAAAAGAGATAGTGTAAGATCACACAACTGAATGGATAACATTATCATCAAACTTATGTTAATTATCCCAGTGGTTGGAAATTGTGGAAGTTCAAATCTCAAGCTATTCAGAGAACTGTTGTGGGATTAATTGCACAAATATGTCCATGGGCATCTCCCACAAGGACCTTGAGATAACAAACGGACTACTCCAGACACAGGATGCATTCATCAACCATTTGGACAGAGTCTGATAAGAACACCTGCGTAGCCTTGCATCTGGAGAGTGTCTGTTATTTGATATATTGTAACCACCCCTATATACGTCTTTTGATTACGCTGTGTGATGTAAAAACCTTAGTAACAATAAAAGAGGGTGCTGGAGTCAGCTCTTGGCTCTCATCCTGAGATACCTGCGTGCGTGTCTCATTCTCCATGAGAGACCACCACATCTGGTGACCCCGACGTGATCAACTGAAGGATACGTCCCTGCCGACCCTTTACTTATCGCCTGGAATAGGCTTGGTGCACCCGACGAAGTTGCTGGCAACTGACTCCTCTTCGTAAGTATGGGGGGTGGAATGTCTCATGCTCAAAAGCAGCATGTGGAGGAGCTGAGGCTACTTGGCAGGAAAAAATATCTTACTGATCAGGAACAGAAATTAACCCGTCACCTTTCTAAATCTGAGGCTGTTAAATTGCTTGCTTACGTATGGGCTAACTGCTCATCTTATCCGAAGTCTGGATCTTTAAAAGTAGATACATGGAGGAAAATTGGTACCGTCCTCCATCAATCTCCAAGACCCCCCCCCCAGAGATTTTGTGCCTTTGGAAAATTGCCTATACCCTGATTCAAACCCATGCTGACTCATCAGCCTTTATTAGACCCTCCACCGTATAAAAATCCGTCTGTTATGTTGGCCACTCCCTTGCCCCCTGGAGCAGGTTTTAACCCTCCTTCTGCCCCTGCAAATTTTATGGATCCTGATAAACAACAAACAGCCTCTCCTGTTCCTGCCACGTTGCCGCCTCTCTCCCGGCCCGGAATCATCCGTGGTGCTTTTCAAAAGGCTTTAAACAATGGTGATTTAAGCGTTTCTGAACTATCCGAGACAGAGTTGTTCCCTGTTACTTACCAACAGACTGCAACAGGCATAGTAGTTGATTGGGAAGCACTTCCTTTGGCTATGATCAGAGAATTGAAAAAGGCTACAAAAGATTATGGCATAACCAGTCCCTATACTAGAGGACTAATACATTCAGTTGCTAGTGCATATCGAATGTTGCCTCAAGATTGGAAAGATCTGTTCCGCATGCTTCTTAACGGAACGCAATATGTAGTTTTTGAATCTGAATATAAAAGAGAGGCACAAAACAGAGCTAATCACCCAGGTTCACAATGGACAGCAGAACAACTCTTTGGAGAAGGTAATTTTGCTACCCTTAATGCTCAGGCTCAAACTTTTACTCCCTTTGCATTTCCAATTATTAATACTTATGTTCTTTCTGCCATGGCTCGTGTTGATGAGTCTGGCACCCCGATTCAATCTTTTTCTGCCATTCGCCAAACTGCAACTGAATCCTATGCAGACTTTGTGAATCGCCTGCAAGTTGCCATTGAGCATCAAATTTCAAACAGAGATGCAGCAAATGAAATCCTCATAAAATTGGCTTATGAACATGCAAATGCAGACTGCCAGTCCATTCTTAAACCATTTGTTTCCAGTCCCTCGGCCACACTAGCAGACTTTCTTAAAGCCTGCCGCATTGTGGGAACCAATGCTTTTCAAATGGACACTCTTGCAGCTACAATCCAAAAGGGGAATCAACCCCAAGGCACTTGCTTCAATTGTAAAAAACCTGGTCATTTTAAAAAACAATGCAGAGCCCCAGGAGGTGGCGCAGCTTGACCCGCTGCCATCCCCGGAGCCAAGCCCAAAACTGTGTGCCCAAAATGTAAAAAGGGTTTTCATTGGGCCAATCAGTGCCGCTCCTCTCAGTCCAATCAGGGAAACTAACAACGGGGTCTGCAGCTAACCCCTCTCCAAAGGCTGCATCCTTTTCAGACTTCACTTCTGCTTCGCAATGTTTTTCTGGCATAGATTTAAAATTGGCTTCTGCTCTTTCTGTTACTTTTCCTAACCTACTCACGGTTGCTGAAACTCTTTATTCTGGACCCTTGGCTCCAGAAACAGAGGGAATAATTCTTCCCACACCTGTTGCTCGGGAACAAGGAGTGTTTGTGCTTCCAGGTATGATAGATCCCATGTATAGAGACACCCTAAAAGTCCAATTTTATACCAATCTCCCTGTCACAATGAACCGGGAGGATACGGTGGCACGCTTGGTCTTATTACCACGTGCAGCACCACCCATTCCAGAGGCTGCATATGCACCTCACTCTGGGAATTCTTCCTCTGACTTATTGGCACTAATAAAGCAAATTACTCCCCAAAAACTGGTGATGCCTTTTTAAATCAATGGCATTCTTTTTTCTGGTCTTGTAGACTCTGATGCGGATGTCTCAGTCATAAGAACAGCTGAATGGCCCTCTAACTGGCCCCTGGAATCCTCACCAGCAGTAAGGGGAGTGGGAGGACTTCAACAAGCAAGCTCCAGTAAAAATTGGCTTACTGCACAACGAATCACAAAAGGCATTTCTGCTAAATTTAAACCTGTCGTCCTCCCTCTTCACACAAATTTATGGGGCAGAGACTTACTCTCTCAATTTAATGTGAAGTTAACTCTGGAAGACTAATAATGCCTCCTTCACCCATTAATCTTGTACTTTTTACCTTAAACTTTTTGAATGTTTCTGGCACCCCTGGCTCAACTGCCGCAAGCAGGCATTTTTCTGCTTCTCCCACAGATTCTTCACGCCCCCAGGTATACTATCGACATTTGCCTGATCCCACCTGGAAAGGGCCTGCCTCCCTCATTACTTGGGGTCGAGGCTATGCTGCAATAGACGACCATGGCGAGATCATTTGGACTCCAGCTCGTTGTGTTTGTCCTTATATGGCTCAACGTACACCACCTCAGCCAGGCATATGAGGATCAGGGACTGTGGGCTTTTAATGCTTTTGTACGGGATGCCAGGCGCACTGCTCTTACACTTAACCTCACGAACTGTTGGATCTGCATGCAAATTCCTGGTGACAGTCGTGGTGGCCTTATTTTCCATGCCATCCCGTTCAATGAAACAGGATGGAAGCAGCTGTGGAAAATAACTACAGAGACATTGAATATGACATATGCTGTGGGCGCTCATATAATGGAACCTGCCAGATTTTGTTTTTATAGCACAGGACTATTCCGTATTGCCATTTATTTGGGAACTTATAGTAATTGTCAACAAGTTATTATATGGAATTCAGTAAAGAAATGCAAATCCATCAAAAGCAACCTTACTAAGATAA